ATAGTGAGTTGCTCATGTGATGGATATTTTGAAGGTTGATAGGACGAAATTTGAAGCCGATTACCATTCCTCTTTATGAATGTTAAATCTGTAGTTCACTATAAGCACCTGTAATGCTTTGTTAATGTGACCACCTGATGTCCGGCGGTGACTCTGGAATGCGTAGTTCCCTGGTGCGCGTGGGCTAACGTATGGCCCAAGACCAAGTCTGATCTCTTCCTCCCCTCCCCTAGGTTATATGTACCCAGTCAAAACTAATGTCTTCTTCCAACCAGTGAAAAGCCTTTGGTTCTACAGTCATTTGTGAAAGCATACATTCAGTAATTCATATAGCTTGTCAAGACTTCCTGGTCGTTATAAGAGGTCAGTAGGTGCAGCTGGATGCATGTATTCCGAAGACAACAAGGCAAATGGGTCTGGGCATGGCACAAAGGCCAGCCCACGTGTACAAGAGCCAGGCAAATCCTAAAATGACCGCTAAACTTCATGTGGTCACATGTGTTTGCGCCAAGGTAAGACCTATTGATCTGGTCCATCAAAATCATAGTTTTACACAAGCTGTGACCTTAGTTTTGGCTCTCCAAAGACCTCCTCTCAGGCTTTTGACCCTTTGCATGATCATCGTTATCAATCTTCCTGTCATGCATTTTCGAACCAAAATCCCATGCGTCATAACGTATCTTCGCTCCCATTGTAATGCTTGGTTTATGTGACTACCTGACACTCGATGGTCACTTTGAGGCATGTCTGGCCCTTGTACTCGTGGGCTGGCCTTGGGGCTCTGTTCTCTTGGATATACGTGTATCCATCCCCACTTACCACCTTCTTCCATCTTATGGGAAGCCTCAGAACGCTAATCTTATATCAACAAGCCAAACACTCTCTTCGTTAACTGATGCAAGTGCGTCTGGAAGGTAATAAATGGGCCATCCATTAGCCCCTTTACGGGCTACAAGTAAAAAGTCATGAACCAATGTGAGAGACTGTAGTAATTAACCCAATTGAAAATACATTACAAAAGCGTGTTATTGTGTTTCATCTTTTATGCCCATACCGAGTGGGGATTATTTTTGCATGAATGGCGGCAGCGTTCGGCTGCTTAAAGACAGCTGTTAGATTTAAGTGTATTCTGCATGTATGATACTTGATTACCCGTATGGATGTCGATGATTTTAGTGTACATCCATCTTTTGGTACGTAGACCAGCCCACGAGCCATCATTAGTCTTGCTTCCCTGTTTTCTGTCTGAATGTATGCATTCAGCCATTCAAATTGCCTTCTATTTCCGAACCAGAACCATTGGGCTCCAAGACTTTCCACCGAGTGAAGGAAGTCAAAAAAGAAACAACAAGCCATGCATTCCAAGGATAGCAGATGGATTAAGCCTGAGCTTGGCACCAAGGCAAGCCTACGCGTACAAATACCAGACGAGTCTCAAAGTAGCCGCTAGGCAACTGGTATTCACATGGCGACGTTGCACTTGCTCTTCACTAAGTAGGATGCAAGTAACAAAAGTGCACTTGAGCATATATAAACCCTTTTCTAGTCTACGTGATAACCACATTTCCATAATTATTACTAATGTGTGTTTCTGCTGACTAGAGTCCACATTCAAGTGTTTGTTTTTACAGAGCCTTTAAATGCGCAAATTAATTTTATAAGGGTATTTACTGTTTACATATTTATTTGTAACCTCTAATGCAGTTGTTTTACTGCATGTCTTAAGATGCTTTTACAACCTTTAGAATACAAGTGAGCCATCCAGTTGCTCGATTGGCTTGGGTGGTTTCTGGTACTCCGTGTTTCGTGTGCATTGTTTCCGAATGCTCGAAGAGTGCGTTTTAATGGGGTGTTTTGCTATTTGGTTTTCCTCAGGTTTTTTTGTTATTTATTTTTCAGAAGAATTGTACTGCTTTAAAAACATGGTCGAAGTAGGACTAATGGCTTCACCATAATCATCATGATATTTCTCTTGACCAAAAGCGTCTACCTGCTATTTTAGATCACCCATGCAGGACTTTAGTCCATTGTTGGATCAAGTCAAACTGACCTACAATCGGATGCTTTCCCAAGGGGACCCTCGAGTGTCCGATTGGGCCTTAATGGCTAGTCCAATGCCTACCTTTGGTATTGTTGGCATCTACCTCTTCGCAGTTTGGTACGGTAAAAAGGTCATGGCTCAGCGCTCATCAGGCTTTGAGATCCGTAATATTATGGTCTTCTACAATGCTTGCATGGTGCTTCTCTCCCTGTGGTTGGTCTACGAATTCAGTGTAGCGGGCTGGATTTTCGGTAGTTACACTCTTGGTTGTCAACCCGTCGATCCATCTATGCATCCACAAGCCCTCAGAATGGCTCGAGCTTGTTGGGTTTTCTACATAAGCAAGCTAATTGAACTATTCGATACCTTCTTCTTCGTTCTCAGGCGCAAATTTCAACTCATTACCTTTCTTCACGTATTTCACCATGCCATTATGGCAGCTTCCTGGTGGTTTGGAGTCAAATTTGTTCCAGGTCCGTAGCAAAATGGAGGAGGTCAGCCTTCTTTTAACAATCAATTAAGTGAAAGCTTTTGCATTTTAGGTGGATTTAGTACATTCCATGCCCTTATCAACAGCTTCATCCATGCGTGGATGTACACTTATTACGCTCTTGCTGCTGCGGGCCCGCAATTTTACCCCTATTTGTGGTGGAAAAGGTGAGGTTGTGTGGAGTCTGTTGAGCAGCCCTTTTAACTACTTCCCAAAATTGTCTGCCAGAAAGTGTGTTTTTTATTGCTTTCGACCTCCTCTCCGACTGAATACTTTGTTTTATAGAATGTAGGCTAATTGCTTGTGCTTCTCAATTGGTTCCTTATTAATTCCTGATATTTTTTATTCAACAGCTAAAATATTTTCTGACTTCAATTATAATTTAAGCATGGTTTTTTAGATGTTATTTTACTTTAATAATCGGATGTATTGCCTCCGTAATTTGGCGAGAATCTTCATCGTTGG